TCAATTTCACTTGACTATTTGCGAAATTGATTTTAAACCTGAAAATTTAACATTTAACTTAAATATAAGCCATATTAATATTCAACATAATGCATTTATATCAAAAAGGACCTATTTTAATATCATGATTTTATATTTAATTTATATATATTTACTTTCTTTTCCATTTTTTATCAGTGTACTTACCGCATTGTCCGTATTCACATATGTATGTAGATTTGGTCAATGCTTGTTATAAAAATTATTTGTTGTTAAATCATTTAACCAATTGAACTGACATATTAACATATTTGATTGCATTATTTTTGGTGGTTCATTATTTTGATAAGTCTTGTTTTTGCCGTTGAAAATACTTTACAAGTGTTGATCTCTATATTTAAAAGTAAAATAAAAAAAATTTAAATTATTCAAATAGGCAATTTCAAAACTCCCTGTAATTGCAATTACTTTTCTGATTGGGTGTGAAATTGTTTTCGTAATGCTGTTTCTTCGTTCCTTCCTCTAGTCAGTGGGCCTATACCACTTAGCAAACCCACTTGAAGTAATGCATTTTCTCCAGGATATCCTGTTATTACCGCTGATCCTGGCCAATGTCGGTTTTGGGGCTGCAAATAAGTGGGATTCAAGGGCCTCCTACTTGCATGCCCAACCGCCGGTGGCAACGTTGAACAGCAATGGCATGCGGATGACCGAGGGCGGCCAAGCTCGTTCCTGGGTGCTGAGGATCATGAATGGCAATGCGTTCGCCTGCGGAGCTTCCTACTTCAGTGCTCTGTACGCTGTGACCTCGGCCAACTGCCTGCACAGCCATAGGTCACAGCTGAAAGCTCTTAGTGTGGAGTTCCTCGATGGCCGACAGGACGTTGGGCAGGATTCCTTCGCCCTCATCCACACCGTTTTCGTGTCGAAGGAGTGGCGCTTTCCCGATACTTTTATGGATGTGGCGGTGGTCAAGTTGAGCAACCGCCTGCGTGGCAATCACGCCAAGTTCGTGAAGCTCTGCACCAAACCGCTGATACCCAACAACATCCTCTCTGTGGTGGCCTGTGGATCAGCTGAGAATGTGCGAACCGAGGAGATCACCGTGCTCAACCGAATGGACTGCGACTCGCAGTACGGCAGTTTTATCCTGGGCGAGACAGTCGCCTGTGCCAAGGAATTCAAGAGGACGGCGTCCTGCATGTTCAACCCCGGTTGTCCGGTCACATCCGGCGATCAGCTCTGTGGCATCGTAGCCTGGGGTCCTGCCTGCAAGACCCCGGGAATGCCAGGAATCTTCACCGATGTCCATCAAGTCCATCGCTTTATCCACAGGGCAATCAGTGGAAAGGGCAGGACCAGTAGGCACCGCAAGTCCGAGCAAGACTCAGCCGTCGTGCCCGATTGGCAATCTGGATTCTGGTTGAGTCGTTGAATCGCCATTTGGCCAATTTTTCTAAATTTGACACGCTGAGTGAGAAATGAATAACAAATCAAAAAACCTGACCATTGAATTGGTTACAATTGCTAAATTCAATTATTCGACGATCCTAACACAAGCCTTTAAAATTAATAGCTTGCTATACTTTTAAAGCTAAAAAAAAAAGATTTTGAATAACTTTTGAACGGAGCATCGGATCCAGGCAGTCTTTCGATGCGTTTTTATTTTCAACAAAAAAAGCTCAAATTAAAAAAAAATTTGGTATGTCACTTTCACCGACCTATTTTCCTAAAACCAATTAATTGCCATTTTCTAAAAAATTTGGGGAAATCTCCGAAAAACGTTTCGGCAAACATATGTTTGCTGGGTTAATTGAGAGCTCACTTTCAAAAGTTGATTTATACAGGCCAGGCAGCTCTTGTCTACCTATGGTTAGCGGAGACTTTCACCGCAGTTAGCGAATACTTGCTCCGTAAGGAAATCGGGTTTGAGATGGTAAAACATCGATATTACCGGTGATATCAATACATCGACAAACTTCGGTCACAGATGTTTCTCCACCTCTACCGCGCAAAAGGAAACAAATTCGCAGCATAATACGAAAAAATACAATTAAAGACAGCAAAAATGGACACTGTGAGGGAACTGGTTCAATTCATGCAGCCCAATCAACGACTGGACTTGAAGGCAGTGGCCTTAACTCATGTTTTAGGTGAGTTTTAACTATAACTAATTTTCCTTGGCTGCACGTGCGTTTGTTTTAGGCAATTGTGACGTCATGCGTTTGCACATTTTATTTATTTACTTTAAATTATCTATTTTTCAGGTTTAACTGGTAGTTCGGAGGGAAAATCGGCAATACTTTCGCTGGACGAAATGCTAATGGCCATATTTGGACTAACCTACGATGAAAATCAAACAGTGGCCAAAGATGCGGTTTTAAGTTTAATTAATTTAACGGCAGAGGAGGAGTCAGCGATTAAAGTTTTCCAACTGGCAAAACAAGTGCAGCCCGTGAGTATTAAATATATAAATATTATCAATAACCTAAGAAATTACTTCTCAATATTTGATTTCAATTTTATTTTGTCTTATAAAATGGAAGTCATGTTTATTCCAATTAACACAGCATTACTTTCTATTTTAAAGTTTCACTTTAATCTTTTGAATGGTATGTACTTTTAAAATTATTTTAAAATGAACGACTTCATACATTTTAGGATAATTTTTTTTATTTTTATAATCAATATGTTATACATTTTAGAAACTGCTTTAAAATGTAATATTTATTTGATAAATAAAGTCTAAAATAGGCTCCTTATATGTGTTTATTTTAATTTATTTAGTTGAAGGTTTTATTTTCCTGGTTGCCTGGCATGGTTGACTTTTACCTGGGAATGCTCATTTGTACTTATAATTTACTTTGTATTTAATGTTTCCCCAGACATTTGCTATCGTAGAGGTGGCCGCCAAGCAGATAACCGACGAGCAATCCGATCTGGCCGATCCCTGGAGCATGGTGCTGAGTAACTTAACGCGCGTGGAGTCGCTGGTTCACGAGATCCTGGGCACGCTGGAAAAAGACGAGCAGACACTGCCTCGACTGGCCAAGGCCTTCGCCCAATTGGACTACAATAAGAAGAAGGCGAAGCTCCACTATTTGGCGCCCATCTTCTGCAATCTGACCCAAGTGCAACGGGGCAGGGAGCTGTGCTGCCACAGGAAGTACCAGCTGCTGGAGAAGCTGCTGCCATTCGCCTCCTTCGAGGGCAGCGTGGTGCGCCGTGGCGGCACCATTGGCATCCTGAAGAACGTCTGCTTCGATGTGGTCTACCACGATGTGATCCTCGACGAACAGGGCAGTATACTGGTGGCCATTCTGCAGCCTCTCTGCGGACCAGAGGAGTTCAGCGACGAAGACAACGACCTGCTGCCCATCGAGCTGCAGGTGAGTTCGATCTTTTCTTAGTATTTGATTATCCTTAAGTGCTTGGCCTTTTTAGTACCTACCCGAAAGCAAGACGCGCGAAGAGGATCCAGATCTGCGAAAAATGCTGCTAGAGTGCCTGCTTCAATTATGCTCCACACGACGCAGCCGTGAGATTCTGCGTTCCAAGGGTGTCTACGAAATCCTGCGCGAGTACCACAAGTGGGAGGCCAAGGTGGCCAAGGACAGTGACTGTCTGCTGGCCTGCGAAAACGTGGTGGATATCCTGATCAAGTTTGTTACAAGATCTTTCTTTGAAGCAGCCAAGTACTTAGTTTCCTTTTTTGATTTCAGAAAAGAGGAGGAGATTGGTCTGGACAACTACAAGACCGAAGTTGAAGTGCCCTCTGAGCAGGCTGAAAAATTCGTGCAAGAAGATGCCGCCTATGTGAAGACCTTGCTGGATTAAACCAAAACACCCCTTGTGTTTGTAAATATGTGTAGTGTTAGTTAAACTCATAGATGATATCGAACTTTCAATATATTTATGCAGTTTTTTATTCAGAAATGCTGATAGTTTAGTTGGTAATGCTTACGTTGCCCAAAAATATTGTTATAGAAAAATTTTTCTGCACGCATTCAAATGCAACAGAAACAATTTCGATTTTCAATTCAATTTGATTAGTTCAAGAAGCGCAGTTTATCTAGTTTATCTAAATATCGTTAATCCATCTCGCTGCCGCCTCAATTGTATATGTATAAAGTTCTCCTTAAGTGCTAGATACATTTGCTTTCAAAAATGTTTGGCAATTGCCTTGCCATGAAACGTTTAATGTACTCTTGTGATATTTTTACAAACTTTGCTTGGTCGTTCATTGTGTGTGAAACAGGTGAAGAATTCGATAGCTCCCTTCGAGCCTTAATAGCCAATATGGTGCGTATTGTGTTTGCGTTTAAGTTTCTAGCTTTTGATTAGTTTGCGTTTAGTTGCGTGGCAAGCAAGCGACTTCAGCTGAGAGAAAAATGCGAATTATTTGGTTTTTATGTGTTTCCTGCCTGCTCTCGATAAAAACCGTTGCGTTCTATCAAAACTTGTCCACTTGCTTATACATAGTTGTGGATTTTTCATTGAGGAAACCATTACAAGCTCGCTTACTCCGAAAACATGAATATTAAACACTAAAAACAAACAATTTCAACTGAAAATCGAACGAGTAGTTCGTTTTGCCTTTATGAATTTCTATTGCCATGGATTCATTTCCTTGCATTTAGTATTGGTTTAGTTTGGTCCTATTGGTTCTCCGTATTTATATGAAAATTTAGTTAGACTTTACAATTAACTTTTTAAACTACTTGTAATTTAGAGACATTCGACATTATTTAGTTTTGTTAACTCATAACTTTTTCCTGCAAAGGGCGAAAACTGCGAACTCAAGTGGGAAGTCTTTCCACAAATTTGTAAGAGAGATTAATGTAGTTGTAGTATTTGTACCCCAAATATACATTTATAAGTTAATTAACCCATTTTATTTTTGACAAGCTTTTAACTCTGTCGATCATAATTTCAGAGGCATTGCAGTAATGATTAAAAATAACTACTACTGAGATAAGAAACTTTTATGACCCACAAGCAACAGATTAGAATCGCAAAACTTATACAAAAAGAGTGAAATTTATTTGTGATTAACAACTGAAACTGGCACTGGAGCACCTATCTCGCCTCCATGCGACGCGACAGAACCTCGTAGCCGAAGAGCTTCACCTCCTCGGAGTCGTAGGGAATGTACAGGCAGCCGTGGGACGGATGCACCTTGCCCACGGTCAAACTGCCGGCATGATAGCCCCTTCCGGCGTACAGAGTCTCCCCGTCGACGTTCTGGCCCACCTTGACGGCTCCGGGCGGCACCTCGCCGTTCTCCGCCGGCAGCCACTCGTAGTTGGACCCACTGAGCACCTCGTAGTTCTCCAGCTCCACCTCCTGGTTGGCATAGGCCACATAGGCCTTTCCCTTGTTGGGAATAATCTTGGCCGGCAGCATGTCGTTGCAGTAGAAAGCCCGCCCGATGAAGATGGTATCGCCATCGGAGTCGTGGCCAGCAACTACGGCTGCCTGGGGGATTGCGCCGTGGCTGAAGTGAAGCCAATTGTGACCTGCAAGGCATCGAAATTGTCCCACTTAATCGGAGGATTCAATCGGAGAAGAGGAGTGCGCCTGTGCTTACCGTCCATTTCGATTGAGCTGCTCAAATGTACTAAACAATTCTAATCGAAGACGGTATTTCTTGGCCACTGCAAGGTGATACCTTATCACACCCATCCGGGTGTGATAACCAATCTTTTGGGTGATTCAACCGAACCAGACTGGCGGTAAGTGTTAGTAGTTGGGCGTTTATATTCAAAAGTCTATATAGCAACGAACTGTGTCATTTATGACCGACATTTATGGCCTGATTTAAGACTTAGGCAGTTTGGAAAAATGTAGGCAATTTTTAGAAATTAAAATTAGCGTTCACAAAATAGTTTATCCATTTCCACGAAGAACGAGTAATCGAAACCGCGTTAAATCAAAATATAAGTGCATAAACAAAGCCTATTAAATTAAACATTACATTAATGACGTTTTTAATTTACATTCAATTAAGTGTTTAGAAAAAATAATCATTAATTGGTTTTTTGCTCACAATTATGTTCCTTTCACTTTACAGTTCGCAGTTTTCATTGCTAATTTAACCCACTAATTCATTCACACATAATTATTATTAATTTGCCCAAAATTCAGCATCCTCTAACAAATAGTCAAATTGTTTTTGTATATGTACAATAATCGTCTAGAGAGGTAAAAAATACTAATGGTAAGGTAAAACATATCGTTTATAAATTGTAAACCATTCCTGCCTTCCATTAATCATAGTTTTTCCGTAGAAACTTAGCAGCGACAGCATTTAAAGTCTAGATTCCTTCCTTAGAAGATAATTGCAATTAGAATATTAATTTAGGTTGCACTGTTTCCGTTGATTTTCGACTCTCGAATGCTTAGCATCTAAATAGTTTCCGTTTGTGTTCATCAATTATTGTTTGATAGTTGTTAAGTATTCGCTTATAAATCACATAATTGCTTGATGAATTCCATAATGTTTTTATGTGTGTGAGAGAGTGTGTTGCTGAGCGTGTCCTTGCTGCAGCTGCTCGAGTGCTTTTACATTTGGGTGCGATCCTAGACACAGAGAGAGATTCGAAGGAAAAGAAATGGATTTCCAAGCGCAGCGAAGTCGCTTTAAATGTCTTCTTCGCTGCCCCACGGTATTTCCGCCTCGGGCTCCTGTTCCGGATACTAAAGTTACTGGTAACGATGCTGCTACCTCGTGGCAGCGATTAGGAGCACCACCAGGCTAAGCAGGTGCCTCATCAGCTCCTCCAGGTCGGCAGGATTCGCTCCCTGTCTCCTGGCCGAGTTGCAGGCATCCGCGTCGCTACAGCTCTGCAGACAGCCGTGCACGTAACTGCAAAGGTGGGCCAAGAAAATATATTAGATTATGCTGAACTAAGGCTGACACAGAAAAAAACAAGCAAATAAGGCACTGAAAATATACAAATAGCATTTTTAATGATAGTTCCTTGAAAAATGTTACTTTAAAATTATTGAAATCAAAACTAAATACGTAATTATAACTAACACAATTTTGTATTGCCTGTTTTAAAAATAATATTTTCTTAGACGGGTATTAGAATTAAATTTTCTTTTTTAGAAACATTTTTGCTTTATTTCATTTATTAACTATTACTTTAAGTATAGACTTTTATTTGAGAAAAGCTTCTTAGCTTCTCTTCACCAAAAGTCAAAACTTACTCGCCATCGTAGTAGAACTTTCCGCAGTGCGACATTCGGATGATCTCGGTATCGGTGGTCAGGGTTCCGCTGTCCAGGGCACAGCCCCTCACCGTTATCGTCTTCCCGGTTTCGTCTTGAAATATGAAAACGAAAAATACTAGAATCAAGGCTATCGATCAGGTCAGGTAACTTACCGTAGTAGCCGGAGATCTTGATGCAAGCGGTAGCCGGAAATAGGCCGTCACGCCCCTTCCGGCCGCCCATGCAGGGCGACTCCAAAATGGCCGTGGAGTAGTTATTGTGGAACGGATCGTCGCAGGCTTTGTTGGCTCCATTGAAGGATACGCATTTGAAACAGTCTATGCAGTAGCCTAAAAAAGTAATTGAAATCAAGGATGAGTGCTTTAATAAAACAAATTCTCAAAATTATATATTTCCCAAAGAAAGTTATTCCACTTTTCCATTTTTATAAGAAGCTCGAAAACTTTTTAGAAAAGGCATAACATTTGTTTTATTTAAAACTATTAAAATTATTCTTAGGTTAGGTTTACTTATTTATATATAAATTAATGAATTTAATTTTAATTTATTTCAAATTATACCTTAACCAAAATTATAACAGCAACCAATTAATTTTTATTGACTTTTCCTGAATAGCACTCACCAGTTCGAATGAAAAGGCCAAGCAGCAGGGCCAAAAGGGCGGCGGTTTCCATAATTGAACTGGACACGGCCATTTCTCGAGCCAACAGCACTCACACAGGATTCACAAGACTCACAGGTTGACCAATTGCGGCCATTCCTCGGAATTCATTTATACTTCGGCTTCTGTAAAAGGGAGGAGTATCCAAAAGGGATTAAAATTAACAAGCGAATTGAAGGCTCTTAAAAACTTTTTCGATTTTCCGCTGAAATCTCCAGCTCAGCCCTCGAGAGCTAATAAAAAAGTTGAAATGAAACGAGGAGTATAAACGCAGGCAATGGTCATAAAAATTATTATCCACAATCCGCAGAAATGCAATTTTTTGTTCGAGGAAAGGACAGGAAGACAAGAAAAATTAAAGGTAATAAATTGCACAACGCATTTTTGACACAATACCGCCCCCCTGTGTGCTCTTTTTTTTCAGTTCCATATTTTTATTGCCGAAGTGTAAATAATTGCTTTTCAGTCGATTTTCGTGTCGAGTGCTGGCCATGTGGTCCCCCACCGTATTTTTACTCCCCCAACATTTTGTTGCCTGTTTGTTGCTGGCACTTTTAATGGCCACTTCGATCGCCCAAGGTGTTGTTGGGTCAACTTTTGGACCAGTGTTTTTCTTGGGTTTTTTGTTCTATTTCGGGGTCTCTCGAATTATGACAAATGATTCTGACTTACGGGCTGAAACTGTAGCTAAGCCCGAGAAACACAATTTATGGGGCCATAAGCGTGTGGCTTAAAGCGATTTTGGGCGTGTCCCATTGGGGGTTTAAAGTGTACAAAGTGGGCAAGTCAAAACAGAATACCCTGCAAGCTTTTTCAATAATTTAATATATTTTTCTCTTTTACAGGCCATCCATTCAGGCGAATCTGTCATCGTGACAGATAAATATTATCATGGCCTGGCTCGTGGCTCTGGTCAGACCAAACAGATATAGTCATCTATCAGCCGACGCTTGGGGTTCAGAGGTCATGTCTGTGGATCAATATTTATTGCAAATTATGCCCCGACCACACACTTTTCGTGTGGGCCACGGGGCGTATGTGCAACACTCTGGGTAGCCGCAAGTGCTGTGCATTAATTATGCGATTTTGAGTGTTCAGGAATGTGTGTGCGTCTGTGGGTGTTTGATTTGCGGTCGAACCAGTCGAACTCCTGTCGCTCAGATGTACTCGGCTAATGTAATTAAGCTTCTGATTAAAATGCCTGGAATTACCTACCAGAGAAAAGCACATTGCAAGAGGGCACAATAAGGTAAGTAACTGAGCTAATAAAGTTCACCCGAGCGTAGATGGAGGTGAAGAAATTTATAATTAAATCCGAAGAGTTCCAATCGGCGTCGAGTCTACTGCCAGAGCTATAATTGTGTGGCGCATTTTCATATATTTGCAAATTAGCTACTAAGCAGTCGAACGAGCTGCCAAACACATTTTGCCATCCACCAACCGATTTCCCTCTGGCTGGCAGCCAAGTTGTCCGGAAACGGCATTGTGTGCCAGTGTTGACGGAAACGGATGCTGCTCCCCCAAACCACCTTCTCCTGCCTGTATCCTCCGCTCCTTGTCTTGGCCAAATGAAGTTTACCTTTTGTTCATTGTGTTTGCCAGCTTTCAATATGCATCACTATCCTCTCGGTTGGTGTCCCATAAATACTACTACACAGAGAGAAAATATTTTTCAGATATATGCGTTTTTGAATTTTATCATTTACAGAAGTTTTTTACACATCATTAGGTTTTCCTTTTTTTATTTAAACTAATATTCTTATAAACTACAGTATGCATCTAAAACTATTTTTGTCTTAGAAAATTTATAAGCTCGAAAAATAGACTTTAATCCTTAAATATTTATAAAAATGAACATATTTGATATAAAAATATGAAAACTCTGCGGGGACTATAAAATACTAATTTTGTAACATAAATTTATGAGGAAAAAAATATGAGCTATTTATTTCTGTTTATACTTCATAAATTTATAATTTGGTACAATTTTAATTGAATACAAAAGGCTAGACAATCTTGATTTCATTTATTGTTTTCTGTGCAGACAGAGCCAGGAGTCGAAGTGGCCATTGTGCCCTTTTAACGATCATCGGTTTGTGGACAGAGTTCGGAGCAGGAGCAGCCTTTGTGGCCTGTGCTTCTTGGTCGTACTTACTTAATTTTGTCGCTGCGACTGGGCCGCAATCGAATCAGCCACGAAGGCAGCCAAGCGGACAGCCCGTAGACTTCCGGTGCCAGCTGCTGCCACAAAACTTTTATGACACTGCCAAAGGCAGCCAATGAAGAGCTATGCGCGAGCAATTAAAAGCCTTCAACGTAGCTATTCTTCTCGGTTCCTACCAGGGACATTAAATTAGTCTGCCCGGCGAAATTGAAAGCTCCCCAACTCGGATTGCCGGAATTTTTAATAAAGTTTGTGCAAGCTAATCGCGTATTCATGGACCCAACTTGGCCCGTGGCGAACATTAAAAATGAAAAATGAAGGGAAAGTTATCCCCGAATCTTCTCCCTTGACAAAGTAGCCCGCTCAATTGTAGGCCATTAATTTCATAATCTGCCTGTAAATGGCAACCCAGGGCCAAGTGGTGTGGGTGTGCCTCATTAGGCCCTGGGTCAGCTTTGATTGAGCGACGAACACCTAGGGGCGAACATTGGAGTGGACAGAAAGCTGCCTCAACACGTAGGGCTCTGCATTTGGGTATGGTCCATTTTTTGTCTCTACTCGAAGTGATTTATTATTATTTCGTCTTTGACTTAGAGTTTCGCATTTGCGATTAGGCCATAATCAATTGATGGCCCTACACATTCCGCCAGCTGAAACTGATGAGGGTGCGAAATTTATGCAGGTTTTGTTTGCCTTTCAGTGTTTTAACATTTTACAGATAATGTCATATCTTGGCTAAAATTGAAATCGTCTGTCATATTTTTGTCTACACAAACGGTTAAATATTGTCACGACCTATTTTATACATTTTCTGTTTCGTAACAAACCAACTAATTATACTTAACAATGTTTTAAAAAATATAACAAATATTTGTGTTTCAAAGAATCGTTGTCTCAATGATAAATAAATATTTATAGCAATCCACAAATCTTACCTAGACAAAAAAAAGATATTAGCTGCAAAGAGTACAACTTTTCAAATGAACATATCCGCTATCATGTGAGCCCAAAATTTTCATTTCTCTAGGATAGACTTTGTGTTGCAGTTGCATACTTTACGGGTCCCACTGACCCCAAACCCACACACACGCTCGTCTAAAAGGTGGCTTACCTTTAATTTGCTTGCACCTGGTTCCCTCGTGGGAGAAATTAATTTCACGCATATGAGACTACACACACACATGCACACATGAACTTGCACACTCACACTCGCACTCACGCACACAAAGTCTCATTTGAGTTGAATTTGCATAACTGCAGCGTTAGTGCAATTTTCGCGCGAATGGAAAACTGCGAATTGCATTTACAATTTGCAAACGCAGTTAGATGAAATTGTATAGTTCCACTGAATGTCGTACCCATAACTATAAGGCTTTAAAAATTGTATATACCTTGGGCGCAAAAAATAAAATCAAATAGCTGTCATGAAACGCATTGTTTGTTAACGCGAATTTTCAACAATCAAGAGGGAAAACTCAACAGAGGGCTACTTCCCTTGGAAATTGTATTAAAATTTGTCCACTTGTTTACATTTTGTCGTTGTTGACTTCATAATGGCCATGCCCTAAAACTACTCAGCATGCAAATTGAAACAATTAAGAGGGCAAATATTTGTTAGCGCTGACCAAGACAATGGTAGCATTTAAGTTTTATGCAGCTGGTAACTCATAATTTCAGGGAACGTGCCTTCAAGGCCAATTAACTCCCAACGACCTCAGCTATTTATGGCCCAAACTCTCTTCGGAACAACCTTTTAACAAAGCAGCTGAAATGTCCGGGCAACACGCAAAGCGATGGGAAATTGGTCACCGGAATGAAGGTCGATTTATGTCCGGGTCAGGAAGAGCTTACGATGATATGGGTCCCACATGCGTGACAGAAAGTTTCGGTATTGGCCAGTGCTGAGACATTTGTAGTAGGGCTTATTGCCATGCTTACCGTCGGATAAGTGTTTAAGCATTTTTTTGTTTTAAGCCTTTCAACCAATGAAATGTTGGCTGGCCGAGCCAATTTAAAAATTTGTTTGCCGCAGTTCGGTGAAATAAATCCTGTAATCCTTATATACGTCAGCATGAGCATCACATATGCAAAATGCATGCCGCCAGGAAGTCTGAATGTGAAACCACAAGAGCGAATCGAATAAATTTCCTAGGGGATAGCACCAATCAACTATATCAATATTTTGTTTGACAACAACGAGTTTTATTTGCCGATTGGTTGGTTAAATCAAGATAGAGCTGAAAATAACCTAGATTACCTTTTTACATTAATAGGTAAAGTGATTGTGGAATTCATTTTTATAAATTTTGTTTTAAATACAATAAATGCAATCTTTAGGACGCAGCTAAAAATTACAACAACTGTGGTTTCTTGCATTTAATCACGAATTGGCACAGTTTTTAGCTTTTTTAGCCTCCAAGTTGAGGCCGATGGCCACTTTAATAGAATGCCTCGAGATAAGAGGAAAAGGCCTCAGACTGCATTCAAGTGGTTTTCTCGGATGCAAAATAGCTGGGCTGGATGCTAATACTATGCACACCTCCTCTTTTGTGTTTTCCCAGGCAAATCGTGAACGCGATGGTGTCGTGCCACCTTCAAAGTCGTTGACATCGATTTCAGGAATATATATGTATAGTGGTAGTGAAATGTGTGTGTCTATGCAGTGTTCAATGACTCTCGACCGCAATTGGTTGAGCAGCCAACACCGAAGTTCTTCTGTATCCCCTGTCATCCGACACTTTTTTGTTGGCCCTTCAATGATTCCGATGCTCACACGCTCCACTGGTCAAAGGGAGCAGTCAACAGGTGCAAATCCCATTCAGTCGATTGAGGTTGCTGGAAAGCCATTTCTGGTGACCTTTTCGCAGTTAATTGTTGGGTTAAATGTGCTTTGCCGGCTGACAGCGAGCTTGCTTTAGGAATTGTTTAAATATGGTGGCTAAAATACTCAACCAAAGAACTTATTATTCTAATATTAGTTTTGAATATTTCTTTTTTAAGCCCCCCTTTCCATATACGAATTTTCTTAGTCCCTTCAAGCTCGAAACAAATAGCGGAAACACAGAAAATACCACGATTCGGAATTTAACAAGTTACCAGGCAATCTAAATTTTTAAGCAATTCCATGAATAACAAAATAGCAATCAACATATTGTGCAAAGTATTCTATCTGTACCTTGTGCTCTTCGTTTTTGCTGAAAACTTGTGCTTAAGAAACTCAATTTAAAGTTGGGTGTGTGTTTGTACTGGCATGACTGAATGACATATTGAATAACTGAGTGAGCTGTCTCACGAAGCCCGACGAAAGGGAAAACTTTTAGAGCGAAAAACAGAAAGTAATTCGTTGTAACCAACCAGGCAATTCATTTTATGCAGACACCACTGGGTTTTACCCATTCCCCAAGGAATGCCCACATACCATCGTGTTAAGTTTGGTTAATTAATACGCCCTTAACCGGAAAAAACAATTCTGAAAATGGGAAAGTTTACACTTTCGGCCATGGCGATTAAATTGGCTTTTGTTGTGGGCTGGCCAGTTTTGTGGTTTTTAGGTTTTAATATATGGCTTACATACAAATATTGTTTTGCTTGTAAGTCGCCATGCTTTAAACATTGATTTTAGCTCTATTTACAATAAAGAGAATTGTTAAATATCTGGATCATTTTATTTAAATGCAATTCAACACATTTACAATTTCCAAAAACCAATTGAAAACATTTCAACAAGGAAATAAATGCAATTCAATACGAAATTGTGTTATACATCTATCGATGTTAGTAGCCAAAATGTTATCTTTAACATAATTGGTTCAATCCAGCCGGATTTTTGCTTCCCCTGCAGGCTGATTTATTTTATTTATACTAATTTAAGTTGATTTTCATGTTGTAACCATGCTCTGTTGTAATTGCTCATGTTTATTCATTTTCTGGTATATGGCATGGGAAAATAAGATTAAATACAAGTTAATGTGCCCTGAAAAGGAAACTTCAGCATCAAACAAGAGCATCTTTCTCATCAAACAAAGTGCATTCAGTGCAACTAACAACTGCAAACATTTTGTGGCGATGGATTTGAGAACAAGGAA